TTTTTTTTTTTATAAATATATCTTTATTGATTTCAGAGAGAGGAAAGGAGAGGGAGAGAGAGAGATAGAAACATCAATGATGAGAGAGTCATTGATCGAGCCCACAACCCGGGCATGTGCCCTGACCGGGAATCGAACCCCAATCGCCTGGATCCTAGGTCGATGCTCAACTGCTAAGCCATGCCCGGCCGGGCCTTCACCTTTTTGACCCAGTTTCCCAAACCCCAACCCCTCTGGCAATCATCAGCCTTTTCTCCGTATCTATTAGTCTATTTCTGATTTGTTTGTTTGCTTACATTCTTCCTTAGATTGCACAAGAGAAATAATATGCTATTTGCCTTTCTCTGATTGACTTATTTCACTTAGCATAATACCCTCTAGGTCCATCCATGCTGTCAGAAATGCTAAAATTTCATTATATATATTTTTTATAGCTGAGTAGTATTCCATTTTTTAGTTGAATTTTTGCTTTTTAGTGTTGAGTTGTATGAGTTCGTCATAAATGTTGGATATTAATACTATATCTGATGTATTATTGGCAAATATGCTCTCCCATTCAGTGAGTTATCTTTTCATTTTGTTGATGGTGTCCTTTGCTGTGCAAAAACTTTTTAGTTTGATGTAGTCCCATTTGTTCATTTATTCTTTTGTTTCCCTTCCTGAGGAGATATATCAGAAAAAAATATTACTAAGAGAAATGCCTGAGAGTTTATTGCCTATGTTTTCTTCAAGGAGTTTTATAGTTTTGAGTCATACATTTAAGTCTTTAATTAATTTTGAGTTTATTCTTATATATGGTGTAAAAAGGTGGCTTAGTTTCATTGTTTTTCTTTTTTATTATTTTATTATTTTTTTATTTTTAAATTTTATTTTTGTTTAAAATATTACAGATGTCCCTTTTGCTCCTCAATGACCCATTCCACCCCATCCCTTCCCCCTCCCCAGTCCCTCTCCCCACCATTGTCTGTGTCCTTGGGTTGTGCATATATGCATATAAATTCTTTGGTTACTCTCTCCCCTTCCACCCACCCGCCCTCCTCCACCCCTCTGACATTTGTCAGTCTCATCTATGCCTCCATGTCATTGATTCTATTCTGTTCATCAATTTATTAAGTTCTTTAGATTCCACATATAAGCGAGATCATGTGATGTTTGTCTTTCTCTGCCTGGCTTATTTCACTTAGCATAATATTCTCCAGGTCCATCCCATACTGTTCCAAAGGGTATGAGATTCTTCTTCTTTACAGCTGAGTAGTATTCCATGGTGTAAATGTCCCACAGCTTTTTTATCCACTCAGCTACTGATGGGCACCTGGGCTGTTTCCAGATCTTAGCTGTTGTAAACTGTGCTGCTATGAACATCGGGGTGCATATATCCTTTCTGATGAATGTTTCAGGATTCTTAGGATACATTCCTAGGAGTGGAATCACAGGGTTAAATGGCAGCTCCATTTCTAATTTTTTGAGGAACCTCCATATTGTTTTCCATAGTGGCTGCCCCAGTCTGCATTCCCACCAGCAGTGTACTAGGGTTCCCCTTTCTCCACACAGTTTCATTGTTTTTCAAGCATCTGTCCAATTTCCCCAACATCGTTTAATAAATAGACTGTCTTTACCCCATTGCATGTTCTTACATCCTTTGTCAGTTATCAATTGACCATATAGCTGTGCATTTATTTCTGGGCTATTTTGTTCCATTGATATACATGTCTGTTTTCATGCCTTGTGCTATAACTTGATATCAGGTACTTTTGAAATATTTGTCTAGATCTGTGAAATATGCTATTGATATTTTGATAGCAACTGAGTAAAATTGAATAACTGATCTGGGTAGTATGGACATATTAATGACGTCAATTTTTCCTGTCCATGAGCAAAGCGTATGCTTCCATGTTTTGTATCTTAAATTTCTTTCTTCAGTTTCTTATAATATTCCTAGTATAGGTCTTGTACATTCTAAGTTAAATTTATTCCTAGGTATGTTATTTTTTTTCATACAGTTGTAAGTGGTATTGTTTTCTTAGTTTCCCTGTCTGATCGTTCATTATTGGTGTATAAAAATGCAATTTCTGGATATTTAATTTGTATCCTGCCACTTTACTGAATTGATTTATCAGTTCTAGTAGTTCTTTTCATGAAATCTTTAGGGTTCTCTCTACACAGTATCATGTCATCTGCAAACAGTGACAGTTTATGTCTTCCTTCCAATTTGGGTGCCTTTTATCCTTCCTGTCTGGTGGCTGTGGCCGGGAATTGCAGGTCTGTGTTGAATAAGAGGGTGAGAGTGGACACCCCCGTCTTGTTCCTGATCTTAAGGGAAATGCTTTTAGTTTTTGTCCATTGAGTATAATGTCAACTGTGGGTGTTCACACATGGCCTTAATTGTGCTGAGCTATGTTCCCACTATTTCCATTTTGTTGAGTTTTTATCATAAACAGGTGCTGAATTTTGTCAAAAATTTTTTGCACCTACTGATGTGATCCTGTGATTTTTATCCTTCATTTTGTTGATGTGATGTGTCACATTAATTGATGTGCACATACTGTTCCTACCTCCAATCCCAGGGAAAAACCCTCTCGATCACAGTGTCTGATCTTTCTAATATATTGCTGGGTCCAGTTTGCCAATATTTTGTTGAGGATTTTTGCATCTGTTCATCAGGGATATTTGCCTATAATTTCCTTTTTCGTAGGGTCTTTATCTGGTTTTGGAATTAGGATAATGCTGACCTCGTAAAATGAGCTTGGGAGTCTTCCGTCCTCTCGAGTTTTTTGGAAGAGTTTGAGAAGGACAGATGTTAGCTCTCCTTTGATTGTTTGGTAAAATTCACCTGGGAAGCCGTCCAGTCCAGGACTTTTGTTTGTTGGGAGTGGGGGTTTTTGTTGTTGTTGTTTTATTACCATTTCAATTTCACTAGTTGTAATCAGCTTGTTTAGATTTTCTCTTTCTTCTTGCTTCAGTTTTGGGAGATTGTATGTTTCTAGAAATTTATCCATTTCTTCCAGATTGTCTGATTTGTTGGCATATAATTGTTTGTAATATTTTCTTACTATCCCTTGTATTTCTGTGGAGTCAGTTGTTACTTCCCCTCTTTCATTACTGACTTTATTTATTTGGGTCCTCTCTCTTTTAAAGGTTTGCCAATTATGTTTTTCTTTTCAAAGAACCAGCTTTTGGTTGTTTCCTTTCTTCTACTCACTTTGGGCTTTGTTTGTTTGTCTCTTCCAGTTCCTTTAAGTGTAAAGCTAGATTGTTTATTTGAGGCTTTCCTCGTTTCTTGAGGTAGGCCTGTAATGCTACGAATCTCTCTCTTAAGACTGCTTTCCCAATGTCCCATACATTTGGGCTTGTGTTTTCATTTTATTTGTCTCAAGGTATCTTTTGATTTTTTTCCTTGACCTCACTGTTAACCAATGCATTGTTTAGTAACATGTTATTTAACCTCCATGTGTTTGTGTGTTTTTTAGGTTTCTTTTCTTGTAATTGACTTCTAGTTTCATGCCATTGTGGTTGGAGTAAATGCTGGAAATTATTTCAATCTCCTTAAATTTAGTGAGACTTGATTTGTGTCCTAACATGTGGTGTATCCTAGAAATAATTTCATGTGAGCTTGAAAAGAATGTATATTCTGCAGCTTTGGGGTGAAATGCTCTGAAGATATCAATTAAATCCATCTGGTCTAGTGTGTCATTTAAGGCTGCTGTCTCCTTGTTGATTTTCTGTCTGCAATATCTATCCATTGATGTCAGTGGGGTGTTAAAATCCCCAATTATGATTGTATCACTGTTGATCTCTTCCATACATCCACCAAGATTTGCTTTATATATTTGAGTGCTCCTGTTTTGGGTGCATAAGTGTGTACAAGGGTTATATTTTTTTGTAGGATTGATCATTTGTTTTAAAGTATATATTGTCTGATATAAGTATTACTACCCCAGCTTTTTCTTATTTCCATTTGAGTGAAATATCTCCATACCTTTACTTTTAGTCTGTCTTTCCTTCTGAGGTGAGTCTCCTCTAGACAGCATATATGAGGTTCCTGTTTTATTATTCATTGGCTTTGATTGGAGCATTTAATCCATTTACCTTTAAAGTGGTTATTGGTAGGTATTTATTGCCATATTATTCTTTATAACTATGTTCCTTTTGCTTTTTATTCTTAAAGAATTCTCATTAACATTTTTCTAAATACTGATTTGGTGGTAATAAATTCCTTTAGCTTTTTTTTTTTTTTTTTTGTCTGAAAAGCTCTTTATTTCTTCTTCAATTTTAAATGATAGCCCTGCTAGCTAGATTACTGTTGGTTATAAATCCTTGCTTTCCTACACTTTGAATATCTTGTGTTAATCCCTCTGGCATTACATGTTTCTGTTGAGAAATCAGCTGATGGTCTTATGGGAGTTCCCTTGTAGGTAACTGTCTTTTTCTTGCTGCTTTCAAGATTCTCTCTGTCTTTAACTAGGTGCTCCAGGAATGCCCCTTATGTAGGTTATGTCCTGTTGTAGCTGAGTAGGTGGGGATGACCCTCAGGTGGGTTGACTATGAGGCTCAATCCCAACCACAGTGAATGAGCTGTTATGCCAAGGCAGACAGCATGAAGCAGAATTGTCCCCAGCAGGGTCTGGTGCCTGCTGAGATCTCCTTTTGGATATGATGCTGTGGAGATACTTGGGTCATGCTCTATGTGGTCTGAAGCCTACCACCAGGTGTATTGGTTCTGGGGAATCTTGGCTGTGACCTGAAGCAGTTCAATATTAGGTGCTGCCTGCAACTGACCCTTGGCTATCAATTGATTGCTATAAAGTGATCCACAGTTTTTGGCTGCCTCTGCAAGTGCGTGGCTGTGCAGGGGAGTGGCCAAGCTGTGCAGCAAGGTTGGCTTCCACCAGCACCAATCCTGGGGGCAGGTCAGCAAAAGGCCCAAGGCACCCTGAGATCAACTTCTACCTGCTGGTTGCCTATTAAGCTCAGTCACTGAAGGAGCCTCTGGCAGTACGTGAGTTTCATGAGTTAATCAGTGAATCAACAAATTGATACAGATTCAAACTTGAAGCCAGTCCTGGGTCTGAGGCCACTCAGCAAAAGTCCCAGGTTACACCAAGGTCACCCTGGGTCTCCATGGACCTTTCTGGTGGGGCAGGGTCTCAGAGAGTCATCAGGGTGAGGCCAGGAAAGTTCATCAGGCCCAAACAGACCAAGATTTTCCTATGTGAAGGGAGGATTCTACACAGGAATGGTGGCAACAGTAGAGCACACAAAAGATAAATGGCCCCTGCTCTAGAGTCACACCACTCAAGTCTGCTGCAATTTTGCTTGGACCTCCTTGAGAGCTTCCCATGACAGTCTGCATCGCAGGGCTAGGCTGGCAATAGCCAGCTGACTTCTCTGCAGGGAATGAGCTCAGCAGGGAAGGGCAACCAGGAGTCAGGAGGGTGAGGGTAGTGGATCTTTGGGAGGTGGGCAGGGCTAGTCAGGTGTACCTGGGAAAGGATGAATAGCCCTCACCCCAGAGCCAAAAAACGGAGTCTTGACAACTCCTAAGTCTGCCCAGACCTCCTTAACCTTTATCCGATGAAAGGGAACTTTAGTTTCCGGCAAGGAGTGGGTCCCGCTTGCCGAATTTAAATGCTGATGGAATTTAAATGCCGTCTTTTAAAGGTTAAATACTCAGAAACCTAAGCATATACGTTCTTTTTTACAGGCAAAAGGAAAGAAACCATTATTTGTACAGTTGATCCTGGAAAATATATGGAGTTTGTATGATGCTGTCTTTTAAATGCCGTCTTTTAAAGGTTAAGAGCCCTCCAGGAAAGTCTACACTGTAGGGCATGGGCTTGGTAGGGCAGGGCAACAGGGAATAGGGAGGGTGTGACTACTGCATTCCCTGAGGCTGACATCATATGGAGAGGAGTGTTTGGCCCAGGGAAAGTGGCGTCTGTGAATGGTATGGAAGAGGGACTCAGAAAAAGACCCTGGCTACTGTCCCTCCAGCTCTCTCCCTGGAGCCTCACAACCCAGTTTCTCTTTGCATGACTTCAGCCCATTCTAAGCCACTCTCCCTCCACCAGAGCCCAGGGTGAGTGGCCACAAATGAGATTTTGTACACTGGACCTTTAAGAGGGTGCCTGGGTTTCAAGCAGACGCCCCTCTCTCTCCCTGGAAGACAGAATCCTTGCTGATTTTCACAACCAGATTTTATATGAGCTCCTCTTACCAGATCTAATGCTATAAGCTGGGGAGCCTAGCATAGGATTGAGACCCCCCACTCTTTATGGGGGACCTTTGCTGCTGAGATATCCCTCCTGAATCTCAACAGCCATACGTGGCTGCGGGGCCATCTTTTTTTGCATCTCCGCCCTTCCTACCAGTCAAAGTGGCTTCTTCTACAAATCCTTGGTTCTAAGATTTCTGTTCATCTAGTCTTCAGTTAGTTATTCAAGTTGATTGTTCTATAATTTAGTGTTAATTCCAATTTAGTCCTGGGAGGACGTAACTTCCACATGCTCCACTGCCATCTTGGATCCCCTACCTATGATAATTTTTCTTTCTACTATTTTTTCCCCCCTGCTTTTCAGACTGAATAACCTCTGTCAGTCTATTTTCAAGTTCACTGATTCTCTCCTCTGACAATTCTAATCTACTATTGAGCTTTTTAAATAAAATTTTCACTTTGGTTATTGTCCTTCTGAACTCCAGAATTCCCAGTTGGTTTTTAAAAATAATTTCCATTTTTCTATTAATATTTTCTACTTAATGAGATACTGTTTTCATAATTTCTTTAATCATGGTTTCCTTTATTTTTTTTTAAAATTTATCCTTATTTTTGAAAGTATTACAGCTTCCCTTTTTTTTTTACCCCGTTGACCAGCTCCACCCCACTCCTGCCCACCCCAGGTGTTCATCACACTATTGTCTGTGTCCATGGGTTATGCATATATGATATAAGTTCTTTGTTTTTTTGAACATGTTTATAAAGGCTACTTTGATGTCTCTGCAAAATCTAACACATGGTATCTCTCACAAGAAGTCATTTGCAACTTAAAAAGAAAGAGTATTACTAAGCAACTTTATGTATCACTGAAATGACAAAACTGTTAACGTTAAGGGGATTCACAAAAACTTATAAGCTTAATCTACAGTGTCTATGTGAGAACACCCTCCGAACAGAGTTAAATACATACCTGAGAGAATAGACAGAGTAGTAGATTTTCCTGCCCCGTTATGTCCTAGAAGAACAGTGATCTGACCCTCATATAAATTCAAAGACAAGTCTTCTACAGCTACTTTGGTAGTATTATGCACTCGAAATTCCTGTAAGGGAAAACCCAAAAATACTAATTTTATCCACACCTATCACTTTGGAAGAACAAGCATTCATATGAACCATCTATAGAAGAAACAGTATCACATAAGCTCATGAGGAAAAAAATCAAAATATAAGAAGGAAAAAACTATGAAAAGGGAAAAAAATGGATAGCATAACAAAAGTTTTAGAATTTCATGATAAATCTATAAATACGCCATGAGCAGTCTCATCCACTCTGGCTTTGTTTCAATAACCACCTTGAAGCTGATAATGCCACAATCTTTTTCAGTCAATGCCTTTGTCCCAATCTGAAGAACTGCCAGCTGAAAATATAGATAGAACATCTAAAACTTAGATGTGCTATAGATATCTCAAATGTCTTATGTGTAGACTAGCAGTGCTTCTGCTTAAGATGCAAAAATATGGAAAGAGCATCATTCCCATTCTAGCAAACAAGTACCTAAGTAATGTACAAAATCATAACTTTACTTGAACCCATCGGAGAAGTGTTTTTATTAGGCAACTAGCTTTACATTGAAGGAAACATAGATGCTTTCAAGGAGACATGGTGTATAAATATTTGCTTGCCTGGAGCAGAAACAGGCACTATAAAAACTAGTGAGCTAAGCGAAATAAGCCAGGCAGAGAAATACAAACATCACATGATCTCACTTATATGTGGAATCTAAAGAACTTAATAAACTGATAAACAGAATAGATTCAATGACATGGAAGCATGGTCCAGACTGACGAATCTCAGGGGGATAGAGGAGGGTAGGTGGGTGGGTGGAGGGGGAGAGATTAACCAAAGAGCTTATATGCAGGCATGCACAACCCAAGGACACAGACAATGGTGTGGAGAGGGACTGGGGAGGGGGAAGGGAAAGGGTGGAATGGGTCATTGGGGAGAAAAAGGGACGTCTGTAATATTTTGAAAACAAAAACAAAACAAAAAAACTAGTGAGAAAATGAAAATGAAGTGAAAACAGCTTCAGAAATAATATTTAAATGGAGAGTTGGTATTCAAGCCTATTTCATTCAGACTTAAAGTATATATTCCTACCAAAACATGCACTGATGGTGAATAAAGACAAAACATCTTGTGTAACAAAAAGAAAATGCTATTTATTTTTAACCCCAAATGGTAGTGGGTGTTTTCTACATAGGTATCCTCACCCTGCCTTCTCCCTAGACCTTAACGCCAGGCTCGTGTAGCTTATTTGAAATCTCTACTTGGATTAATGTTTAAGTGCCTATGTCCAAAACGGAGCTTTTAATTCTCCAAAGCTTCACTTAAAAACCAACTAATCAAACAAACTTCAAATTCTCCCCCCATTGTCTCCAGTATCCATAACTTGCTCCACTAACCACCCATTTGCTCCAGCCACAAAACCAAATGCCACCTTAGTTTCCTCCTTTCCGCTCAATCACACATCCAACTCATGAGCAAGTTTTCTCTGGTTCTAACTCCAAAATATATTCTGCATCTGTATACTTTGTTCCCCACTGCCTCAAGCCCAGTCCCTGTAGCCGTCATCTTACCTAAGCTACTATAAAAGGCTCCAATCTGTTTTCTTTTTCCAACTCACTCCTCACAGCTGCCAGTGTGGTCTTTAAAAAAAAATCAGATCATGTCCCTCTACTTCACAAATGTCAATAATTATACCTAGTATACTGCTGGTGGGAATTCAGGCTGGTGGGGTGCAGCCACTATGGAAAACAGTATGGAAGTTCCATTTTAAAAAAATTAAAAATGGAACTGTCATTTGATCCAGTGATCCCTCTCCAAGGAATATATTCTAAGAATCCTGAAACACCAGTCAGGAAGAATATATGCCCCCCTACGTTCATAGCAGCGCAGTTTACAGCTAAGATCTGGAAGCAGCTCAAGTGCCCATCAGTAGATGAGTGGATAAAAAAGCTGTGGGACATTTACACCATGGAATACTATGCAGCTGTAAAAAGAAGGATATCTTACTTTTTAAGACAGCACAGAGGGGCCTGGAAAGGGTTATGCTAAACAAAATAAGGNCAATAAATTATATATGGAACTGCTATGTGACCCAATGATCCCACCTCTAGAAATATATTCTAAGAAACACAAAACACCAATCAGAAAGAATATGTACACCCTTATGTTCATAGCAGGGTTATTTACAATAGCTAAGATCTGAAAACAGCCCAAGTGCCCATCAGATGAGTGGATAAAAAAGCTGTGGGACATTTATACTGTGGAATACTATGCAGCCATAAAAAAGAAGGATCTCCTGCCCTTTCAGACAGCATGAGGGGACAGGGAGAGTATTATGCTAAGTGAAATAAGCCAATCAGAGAAAGACAAGATCACATAATCTCACTCATATATGTAATCTAAAGAACAAAATAAACTGATGAACAAGAGAGATCCAGAGACATAGAAGCATGGAACAGACTGACAAATTTCAGAGGGAAGGTGGGGTGGGTGGGAAGATATTGACCAAAGAACTTATATGTGTATATGCATAACCCAAGGACACAGACAATAGTGTGGTGAAGGCCTGGGGGGAGGAGCAGGTGCAAGAGCGGGGTGGAGAGGGTCAATGGGGGTAAAAATGGGATATCTATAATACTTTCAACAATAAAGATAATTTTTTTAAAGAGTAAAAGAATAAAAATAATTTCCTTCAAAAAAAAAAAAATCCAAGTATTACCAAGTGTCTGATAATTTTCTGAGTATGGGTCTTTTACATCCTTGGTTAAATTATTGCTAGATATTTTTTTGAAGCAATTGTAAATGGCATTGTTTTCTAAGTTTGTCTTTCTGGTAGTTCATTATTGGTGTATAAAATGGAACTGACTTCTGGATATTTATATTATAGCCTCCTGTTTTTATTGAATTCATTTATCAGTTCTAGTGGTGTTTTGGTGGAGTCTTTAGGGTTCTCTATATACAGTACCATGTCATCTGCAAATACAGTTTTAGTTCTTCCGTTCCCAATTAGATGCCTTTTATTTCTTCTTGTCTGATCACTGTGGCCAGGACTTCCAGTACTATGCTGAATAAGAGTGGTGATAGCTGATGTCCCTGCCCTGTTCCTGACTTAAGGAAAATGCGTGTAGGTTTTACCCACTGAATATGATGCTGAATATGGGTTTGTCATATACGGCCTTTATAATGTTGAAGTATGTTCCCTCTATTCCCACTTTGCTGAGAGTTTTTATCATAAATGGGTGCTGGATTTTATCAAATGCTTTTTCTATTGATATGATCATGTGGAGTTTACCCTTCATGTTGTTTATGTGATGTATCACATTTATTGATTTGCGGATATTGTACTAGCCTTGCATCCCATGAATAAATCCCACTTGATCATAATGTATGATCTTTTTAATGTACTGCTGGATCCAGTTTGTTAATATTTTGCTGAGGATTTTAGCATCTATGTTCATCAGGGATATTGGCCTATAATTTTCTTTTTTTGTAGTGCCTTAATCTGGTTTTGTAATTAGGATAATGCTGGCCTCATAAAAAGAGCTTGGGAGTCTTCCCTCCTCTTGAATTTTTTGGAAGAGTTTGAGAATGATAGGTGTTAGTTCTTCTTTGGATGTTTGGTAAAATTCAACTGGGAAGCTGTCCAGTCCAGGACTTTTGTTTGTAGGGAGTTTTTATTATTACTGCTTCAGTTTCACTAGTTGTAATCTGTCTGTTCAGATTCCCTGATCTTTCCTGATTCAGGTTTGGAATACTATATGTTTCCAGAACTTATTTATTTCTTCCAGATTGTCCAATGTGTTACCTTACAGTTGTGCTTAAATTTTTCTTACAATCTTTTCTATTTCTTTGGTGTCAGTTGTTACTTCTTTCTTTCATTTCTGATTTTATTTATTTGGGTTCTCTCTCTTTTCCTCTTGATGAGTCTGGTTAATGGTCTGAAAACCTTGTTTATCTTTTCAAAGAAAGAACTCTTGGTTTCATTGATCTTTAGTATTGTGCTTTTAGACTCAGTTTTGTTTACCCCTGCTTTAATCTTTACTATTTCCTTCTTTCTGGTCACTTTGGGCTTTGTTTCTTGTTCTTTTTCCAGTATCTTTAAGTGTAAAGTTAGATTGTTCATTTGAGATTTTTCTTGTTTCCTGAGGTAGGCCTGTAATGCTATGAATTTCCCTTGTGGGACTGTTTTTGCTGTGCCCTCTAGATTTTGGGTTGTTGTGTCCTCATTTTCATTCATTTCAAGGTATCTTGTTAATTCTTTCATTGTTAACCCATTCATTGTTTAGTAATATGTTATTTAGGCTCTTTGTGTGTTTTTCAGAGTTTTTTTTTTTTTTCTTGTGATTGACGTCTTGTTTCATACTATTATGGTCAGAGAAGATGCCTGATATGATTTCTATCTTCCTAAATTTATTGAGACTTGTTTTGTGTACTAACATTTGGTTTATCCTAGAAATAGTTTCATGTGCACTTGAAAAGAGTATATATTTTGCTGCTTTGGGGTGAAATGCTCTGAATATATTAATTAAATCGATCTGATCTAGTATGTCATTAAAGGCTGCTGTTTTCTTGTTGATTTTCTTTCTGGAAGATCTATCCATTGATGTCAATGGAGTGTAAAATCCCCTACTATGACTGTATCACTGCCAATCTCTCCCTTTATGTCCATCAAGATTTGCTTTATATATTTGGGTGCTCCTGTTTTGGGAGCATAAATATGTGCAAGGGTTATATTCTCCTGTCAGATTGCTCCTTTTATCATTATGTAGTGTCCTTCTTTGTTTCTTACAATAGCATTTGTTTTATAGTCTATTTTCAGATATAAATATTGCTACCCCAGCTCTTTTTCATTTCCATTTCCATTTGCATGAAATATCTTTTTCCAACCCTTTACTTTTTAGTCTATATGTATCTTTAGGCCTGAAGTGGGTCTGGTAGACAGAGTATATATGGGTATTTGTTTTCTTATCCTTTCAGCTATCGTATGTCTTTTGATTCGAGCATTTAAGTCATTTACACTTAATGTGATTACTG